TAGGTCTGCTGTCCAACACACAGCTCAGTAACCGTTACCAGGTAAAATGCCCCAGGTGATATAATCTGACATGTCTACAATGTTAGCTAGTTAAGAAAGGACACAAGGATATAGAGAATATTGAAGGTTGTAGGTTCACAGCCACATTGGCACCTTTTCTCACATTGCATTTAACTGATTTTACGGAGTAGAGCAAGATAATGTTATGATGCAAGTCTGAAAAGACTAGCATTTTGTGATGGGTTAGCTTATTCTTTTTTCCCTCTGTGCCAGTGAAGCATGCAGTATAACGTCAGGGTAGAAAGTCAAAATATGATCAAATTGCCAGATATAAAGTTCCTATGGATGCAAATGCAATAATGTGGCTTCCATTGACAAACAGAATGGAATAGGACAGGTGACTCTATGAACATAATTACAATGGCAGTGTCATAATTGCAACATGAAGAAATACTGAATGACAATTACAATTCCCAAATTGATGTATTGCAATACTAATTTAAGGATTTAAACATTATCTCAGTTGTTGGAGTGTTTAACAGGCCATACTCTTCCAGACTGAGATGGATCACAACTTCATCAGTCAGGAATTAAAAGACTGAGACGCTTTTAGATGCTGCCTGTCTACCACTGATGCATTTTTGTAATAAAAAAAAAAACATGTTTCTTATGACATTTCACATTCTTTCTACACAACAGATAGATCTAAGGCCAGAAATTACAAAATTTGTCCTGACCGGTTTACATTTGGAGTGTTTTGATTGGGCAAACACGCAGCCACCTAATCTCTCAGGAAATACCCGGTTTGTCACAAGTTAATCTGATTGTTTCCTGATTTCTTAACTGCCTTTTTTTTCTAAATGCTGCAGTTGGTTATCTAGTGGAGAAGCTATGATTCCAACCTTTATACTTTTGTTTTTAGAGCACATCTAGACACATTTCTTCCCCTCTCTGCTTGGATATCAAACAGCTGTGGCATGTGATACATACACCGTAGTAGTAGCTGCTAACTCTGGGATTTAAATTCAAGTTTGGATACATAAAAAGTAAGGTTTCTGCATCAGCAAAAACATGATTTTATTAGCTGAAATGCTCTCCAAAAGAAATAAATTTCAACCCTAATGTACACATCGTGCAGCTAAAACCAGTTCAGAAACAGCCGGTCATGGTCTCATGATTAAAGCTACATGCATGCAGCCAACACTATGATAATACTGCGAATGACATGGATTTAATATGGGGATCTGGTGACAGTTCAGGATCTTTCCAGATTGATGATAGATTGACTAATAGAACATGGAAGTGATTGGGATATTTGTATGTCTGTTGAAATTATTACTTAAATTTTGCAGTAACAGTGACTTTCCTGTACTTTAAAAATAATGTGATTTCTGTTTCACACGTTGATCTTGTTAAGGTCAGCGGGAAGGTCCCCATAGTGAGAGTCAGCAGCTGCTGATGCTGCTTTGTAATCATTGGTGATTCAAACACATTTTTTCTCAGTGGACACTAAAATGTATAAGTGAACTTGAGTATGTGAAAACATTTTGTAGATGGGTTAGAAGTATTTTTAGACAGGCATCCACGGGGCTACCTTTCTAGAAACATCAGCAGCTCCAGCTGCCACAACCAGTTAATCTATCACAACAGCCTATCATTGCAATAAATACAGTGATTGGTCTGCAGACATCTTGCTGTGCAGGATGCTCAATCCGATGCAGTCATAGTTTATATTATGTCATGATAGATTGTCTGCATATTCTGTTGCACCATAATATATTCTACATTTACGGCATGTTTGTTAGGATGCATTTCTTCTTTCTTAACCCATCACGTGAACAAAGGTGTGTAAAGTAAAGGGGAATGTATTTATTTAATGCTTCATTGTTTAATTTTCATACGCTAGACTCTTTAAAGAAATAAGTCATTTTTTAAGTAGCGGCAAGTTATTTTCAAAACTTAAAATAAATAATACATATGCTACTTTCTATTACTAACAGCGGACTATAACACCAGTTATTACTTTCGTGTGAAAAAGAATGACAACACTGAAATGAAGCTAAAGCTAGCATTACTGCACAGACTGGGTTTAAAATTTTAGTTCCTTTAACGTTTATTCTATTTGACTTTCCGTTTTTATTTAACGACGCCATATTAATAGTATATTAGACTTATTTACAAAAAAAGGCCACATAACGTAGTCAACAATGCTAATGCTAAAGCTAACCTTTTTAATGTAAAAATTTGACAGATATTAGAGCATGCAACTTGTATGTTCAGTTAGCCTGAAGTTAACTCACCACTCGATTGTCTCTCTTGCCCATTTCCAGTCAATAATAAGAATAATCATTAGTGTTATTTTGGTAGCATTGGGGTAACTACTGCATAGTATGAAGCTAACAGCGGTGCCTGTAGTCTTCTTCGACTGCGACGCTATCACAATCATTAGCCATGCATTACTGCCACCTAGTGGGCGTTATAGGGTATTCCGCAAACAATTTTTTTTCCACATTTGAGGTAAAAACAAAAAACAAAAACAAAACAAAAAAAACAACAAATAAAAAAACAAGCAAAATTGAGCCGAGTAATAACTTCATAATTTTACTGGTAATAAATATTCTGTGTCTGGCCTGAAAAAAAACAAAAGAAAAACTAAGACGACTCCTTTAGGCGAGCAGGCAGCCCCCTAAAAGATGCATAAATTCCTATAGCTCCTTTCAATAAAATATAACAAAGTTTACAACTAGAAGCAATAATTGAAAGTGTGTGATTATCTGATTCATCTGCATATATAGACAACTCCAAACATTTGAAAAATCCTGCATTTTATTCAGCTGGTGCAAGACAATATTATCCAACCAATGCTTCCATACATACATTTTGTCAATCTGTCAATATTCCATCCTTAATTTAATAATTCTTAAACTGTAAAGCTCCTTAAAAAACAAACAAAGGACAACTGACATTAGATTGAAATGAATTACAAGATTGTAAGTCTTTGAAAATATAATTAGTTCAATTATAAAACACTATTTCTAAAGTCATTATAACTTTATAATTATGCAGCTTTGTTATGGAGCACTTATACCAGAAAACTTGCAATCATATAGAAAATGCACAGTGTTTAGTTAAGCAGATCTATTATTCATTAACTAAACAACATCTTCCAAACATAAATGGCTACAGTAATATAACTGATAAATAGTATTGACAGTAGACTATAGTCAAAGACACCATTATGAGACAGCTTGATAGGAAACCTGAAGAAGTCGATTTGTGGTCACGTAGTAAGCCAGGAGTTGTGCAAACTGTGTCCAAAAGGTTTGGACATCCAGAAAAAAACCTGAGAGAGTTGAAAAATGAGTGTGTGTCTGTGTGTGTGTGCTAGTAGCACTACCTGTTAAAAACAAACCGACCAGTGTTAAATTGTTACTGTTCAAATACAAAAATACAGCTCTGCGTAAGTTGCCTTTTTCTTACTCATTTACAAAAAATAAAAACAAAAAAACAAACGGAACAGCAATAAAACGGCACAATTACGTGAAAAGCAAAAAACTGTAAATAAAAATGTGTATCATTTCATCAAACTACTGTTAAATTCGTTGCCATCATCAGTTCAAAGTAAAGGAAATCCATCCAACATTTCAAGAAGGAAAATTTTCTCATCACACTACTTTCCACTGACCTTCACCTACTCTACATCTAGCCACTTTATGACATATCTATGTACTTTATCAACAGTTTCTGTTGCTGCACCTAGCTGAATACACTGTACAGTACCAATACCTAGCTTTTACACATTCCTTAGACGTACAAACTCTAATCATGTGCAGAATTGGTGCACTTGGTGTAAGAATATCATATGCCCAGCGTATTAAGAAAAACAAAATCCAGTAAAAAGCATATAAGACTTGTCAACAAAATTTAAATTAAATACAAAACATTTTTGATAACACTTTGCCAAATGTTTTCATGATGAATAGTGCTGGTGGGACTTCAATCACAGAGGTCAAGCCTGTGCCTTATGCATTGATGTAGATAGTAATTAAGTGAATTTTACAATGAGAAAATCCCACAATGGCAGAAAAAAATATTTTCAAAAATGAAAAACAGTCTTAGCGTAAGTGGCAGGAACAGTTTTCATTGTCTCAGCACCATTATGATCAGCCCATTGGGTTCTTGAAGACTGCAGCAACCATTAGAATCCCGCTACTGGTTTTGCTGCAGATACTTTAGATATCCACACGATGGCAGCGATCTTATAGTTAACAGAAAAAAAAGGAAACATGGCAGTGAGAGGCTGGCTTGTGATTCCTTGTGACTTTATAGGTACTTAAGCATGCTTGGGTTGAGTATTTGTAAGAGTGCTCCTGTTGTTCGTCCCTCCACACATTTCCACAGTGAGCATAAAAGCAGGTGAGATCCACGCTGTCCAATTCAGACCCTGTCTGCTCCTCAAAACAGGGGGGGAAGTCTAAAAAAGTCTAAACACTGGTCATAACAAAGCTTCAGCCTCCATAATTTGTCCGTCCACTAATCTAGAAGTCCATCTATGATGCAGGCCTATGTTTGCATTAGGCAACAATTAACATCCTATAAGCAGCAATTGTGATCCACTGGTTCTTGGGATGGCAGCTTTTGTGCATGGTTCAAGGGCACAATCTCCCTTTTCACCATCTTGTTTTTTTTTTGAGTACTTTCAGGAGTGTTGTACGTGATCATAAAAAGTATTTCCCTCCCATCATTTCAGTATATTTTAAGTTTATATACTACATCAAACTACAACCAATTAAGCTTTTTGACACTGAAATCACAAGAAAACAGTTTCTTTCAAAGCCCCTAATAAATATTGTTTTGCAATCATGCAGGAAATTAATCTTTACAATTCAAAAAACCATTTAACAGAGAATTAAAAAGTAAAAAAGCTGCAATAATCTTGTATCATAAATGTGAATGGCCCTAAATTAAGTTTTTTAATTCAGTTTCAAGACTTGGTTTTGTTTTTTGTTTTTTACTTTTTTTTGGAATGACTGAGAATTTTCCCCAGCAACATTAAATGTAAGGAAGTTTAGGTTTCCAGGTTTAATTTTTACTAATATTCTTTGTTAAGGCCTTATATTGAGGAGAAGTTACAGCATAGTGAATGAATCTAACTGAAAAGAAGTAAAGTAAGTAAAAAGAAAGGTCTAAAGGACGTGTGCTATTATGTTGCAAAGTGAAAACAGTCACTATTAATGTAGGTAAATATGGAGGAACTTTACTAAAACTGGATGTTTTTTAGTTGAAAACTGGTATAAATTGACCTAGAAGCTGATGATGAGGGTTTTGTCTCTAGGCATCACAGTAAGTCCAAGGATACAATCAAATCTACAAAAGATTGACTTGTCTGACAAGAAATGAAATGTTTTGTGATGATCGTCAAACAGTCCTTAAAGAAATAATCAATAAAGGCTGTGACCAAAAGATGCCTTTGCAGCTTTGAAGGATTTGGAACTTTTTTAAAGTAGAACAGGCAGATACTGCCAGGTCAGGATGCTGGTACACTCCTACCAAAGACTGGCTGGTAAAATATAATGAAAGGGTCCATCAACCAAGCTAGGTTAGGTTAAAGATCCGACGCATTTTTTTGTTTGTTTTTCCATTTAAAATGTAAAGGAAAGATGTAAGTTTTTCCTCAGTAATTTATTACTTTTTTTATTTTATTTTTAGATCCCACAAACCAGCATGAAATCCCCCTAAGCAATGTCTGACCATGAATCTTAAGACTGAAGTCATCCCTGTTGGCTGTGAATATCATCAGACACGTGAAATCTAAATGAATGGCTACAACAAGTGAGCTTTTAAACCGATCAATGTTAGCTGTTTTGTTTGGAGATAAAAAAAATAAAGTATTAATATCACAGTTTTTGTGTACTAACTCATGCATACTCCAGTAGGAAAGTGCTGCAAAGAGATATAGTCTGTTAGCCTAACGGGCCAACATCAAGAGGCATTTTAGAGTTATAGACTCATTTGATTTCTGCTGATCAGTGTCAAAATGCTTAATTTATGTGGTTTTAGTTGTTATAAACCCAATAAAACAAGTTGGGTACAAGAAATACTTGTCATAGACACTGTTTGGGGGTAACTGCAGGGAGGACCATCAGGCAGTCCTCTCCTCAATAGAGGGCTTGATGCAGGGGATTGAATGTGTAGCATACAGGCTCCTGCTGTGACTGTCCACACTTTGAAAGTAAGGGTGACTCAACGCAGCGAAGGCTGATATTCTCCTCGAGGGGTTGAAGGTGAGAAATTGCTACAGATGGAAGAAAAAAAAAAAAAAAAAAAAAAAGATTAGATGGAATATCACGCAACCAAAAATGTATAAGGACTTATTTGAAGGGATGTTAATACTAACCATTAACAGGGCTCGTCCTTCCCCATCCATGTCTGGCACCAGGTTTTCTATTGGTTTTGGGGGTCGGGGTGTGAAGGCACTCTGAGGTAAGGCCACTTCTTCAGGCCAGTCTTCAGGTGAAGGTACCCCAACAACACTGTTAAATGATAAAGCCCATCAGCAATGAGCATCTTATACTTTTTCAGAAACATATCCCAGGTAAAGATGATTCTAGAACTACTTTAATGCACAATCCTGTCTTACAAAAGTTATTTTTGCTTAGATTGGATACAATTTTTACTTGTACGTACTCAAAGATCTTTCCCAGCTGATCCACATCGGAGTTTCCTCGAAAAAGAGGTCTAGGATAGAAATGAGAAAAAACACAACAACAAATCAGTTTGAATATCATCTCAACAACTTTCACTGCAGACACCAGTTTTAATGTTCGTCTCCCTGCTTTAGGTGAATATACAGGCTTTTTACTTGGGGCAGTAGGAATGTGAGAGCCTGATGTGAACCTTTGAAGACCACATTTTGTCAGGACTGTGGAGCAGTGCTGGTAAGACCACTAAAGACAGGAAGGAGGGAACCAGGATGAAAAGAAGGAGGGGAGCAGTAGCAGGACTGCTGGTGGTTCCTGTGGCTTTGGGCAATCTTCCTGATACCCGTGGGCGGTCATGGCTCGGGCCTGGCACTCGCACAAATTCCAGTAGTCATCAACACAAGCCTACAAGTCGCCTCATAGGATAGAAAAAGTCTGTTTGGCTCCTATGCCCGTCAGCTTTGGCTGCCTGCTCCGTCAGTGTGAGCAGGCGAGTGGGACTGAAATTAATGTGGAGGAAAAGTTGGATTACTCTAGCAGAGAAAGAGGAACCTGAAAGAGATGTTCCTGTTCAAGTTCATCTGAGAAGAAAGGAAGAAGAGAGGCTATAATAACTTTTATACCTCATGGCTTTTTGGAAAATTAAAGATAAGAAATAAACATCAAGGTATACAGTCTTCTAAATAATAATGGTAAATCTACACCAAGCCTCAACTTAAAGCATATACAGCGCCTTGTCAAACTGTCATATAAACTGAAATTTTCCACACTATTTTATGTTACACCTACAAACTTCTATATCTTAATAAATGTTTGTGTTTAATAGGAAAAAAAAACATAAAGTAGTGCCCGATGAAAACCTGAAGGTCAACCGTCTGCAACCTCCAACAGTTTTTCCTCCATATCCAGGTTTGTCCTGTTCTTAGCTTCCCCCAATCCTCCCATCAACACAGACCAATCTTCCTCTCCACGCAAATGAAAAACATCCCCACAGCATGATGCTTCCACCACCATGTTGTACCATAAAAAATCGGTTATAGCTGATATACAAAACCTAGTTCTCTCCCAGAAGTATTTTTTTCATATCAGCCAAAAACTTTGATTTTAATCTAAACACATCCAAGCACCTTCAGCATGTTTGCTACGTCCATTTAGCTGTTTGTTTTCATTCAACAAAGGCTTTCTTTTTGCCACTTGTTGATAAACCTCTTATTAGCATCTAATCATTGCCTTATCCAGAAAAGGTCCCACCTGAGCTCTGCATCTCTGAAGCACCTCAAGTTACCTCATAACAGCCTCTTGGCTGTTCCTCTGGTAAATGCTCAACTGATAAGGTGGAGAAAAACAAAACACATATTTTCCAACTTTGAAAGGTTTCCTGAGGAGAGCTCTGGGAGATGTTCTTTGACTTTGCCTGAATCCTTTCCAGATCACCATAACTGAAGTGCCCAGTGTGTTCCAAACACTGTTGCTCTCAGACAACCTCTGAGAACTTCAAATATATACTGTTTATATCCTGAGGAAACAGGTAAAGATAATTGTATTTACTAGTTAGATTATGTGCAAATTTTATGTACGAGTATCAGACTACATATAGCAACACTTAAAGGCATTTGGTTAGATAAACATGCAGAATTTTTAGTCTGCTTTGCAATTATGTGCCTCTTTGTGCTGGTCTTGAAAGTCTTTGAGCTTTATTGGAAGAGTTCATGGTTTACGAATATTTTCACACGCTGTACTTCAAATGCTGGTCTGATGACTGTTTGAGTGACCCCCACTTGAGGAAGTCAGCAGTAACCTGCCAGCCACCTTGTACTTCCCTGTGTTTTCCACTTGCAGGAAGCCTTGCATAGCTCAACACCCACACTTTCCGACACGATCAAAGTCCGGGATATTTTTCATCCATGACTGCACAATGAAAGCAGACTCTCTGTCTATTTTAAACGTAATAACAAGACTGCCGTTAGACTGAGTTACGATTATTGGAAGATGACTTTTATTGTTTTTGTACCAATAATTTGTTTTAACTTCTGCATTTTGCAAAACAAAACACCACACATGCAAATTCTTTTGAGTAAAGCATTTATAAGTATTTCCAGATCACACCAAACCAGTTCCTGACAGTTGCAACAGAAAAAAGAAAATCACCTACAGCAAGTTATCATGCCAAAACAAGTAGGGCTGATAATTCCAAGAGGTCCATTTTTAAACCTGAAGTGCTTTGTTGGTTTGTGGTAGGGGGGGACAACTGGGAATAACTAACCTAAGATTGACCGCTGACATACGCACAGCCAGAAGCTTGATAAAACTGTACATTTTCAGTTAATCACATATACATAGTCTGTGCAATGCAACCTTGAACGTTGGCACTAGGTCTACTTGCAGTGCATAGCACATTCGCACACAGATGTATGAGTGGTACTGTCGAAGGGCTGACATGAGGTTTGGGACGGGCAGCTGAGTCACGCTTCCGTTAGTGCCAGTTCGGCACTGTCCCACATTCCACTGAGACCACCTCTGGAATGTGTGCACATGTTTGCACGTGAGTAAGTCAATCTGTCTGGTGGGAATTAAGACAGTAATGCAGTGTGGGTGTTTCAGGAAAAAAAATGCACTGTGTGCTTTGACCAAATGGGCAAACAATATCTGACCAAACTTTGTTTGTTTCATGTTGATCTGTGCACACATCTGCACACGACTTTGCTTTATCAGGGTTTATCAATTGACCCTCAAACTGTGAGAACATCAACAAGGATGTAGGGCCTCTCCCGGACCGTAAGGCATCACTTTTCGATTTGAGGAATGTCAACAAGCAGGCATGCTCTCTCTTATTCCATTGAACTGTGAGTCAGAAACCATCCTTGCCATGCAGATGCAGACTTGTGTAATATTTGCTTAAATTCCTCTGCACTGTATTCTCATAACGGTGCAAATATACCGTTGTTTTCTTTTTCTCTCCCAAAAATGCATTTTTAAGAAGAAGAGGAGAGCAGTAATGAGGACGGTTCCAATTTATTAAGTCCTAGGCATATTTTATGGACTCCTCTGAGGTGTAACATGAAATAACAGGCAACATGAATGCGCTCATTGCCTACTGAAGCTCTGATGAAAGATTGCAACTCATGCAAACTTTCAAAAGAGCAGTTTTAACAATTACACTTTAAAACACAGTTTAGATGCAAGCTAACGCACATTCCTTCCTCCATTCTCCTTTGCTGCACTTTCCTCTAAATCATCCTTTTGCTTTCTTTCACCACCTCTCGAGGGTGCCCTTTAATCTCAGACAGGTGTCCTTTAAAAGAGCCATCTTTATCACCTAAAGAGAAAGCCATTTGTGTGTAAGGCAATCAAAGGACTCACCTTTCACCTTGAAGAAAACCTGGTCAGGTGCCAACATATAAAGACGCCCACATTTACAAACAGACAGCAAAGCTTTTAACAGCTTTCTCTGTCAAACTCAAGAGACAAAAAAAGAAACCCTATCCTTACTGAAACACAGAGTTTACTGACTGCTGTCATGAAGGAATTTCTAACAGATTAAAAAAAACGTTTTTGTTTTTTTGTTTCCAAAAGAAATCCATATAGAAAAGAACAATTTGAACAAACAATTCGAGTTTTTAGGAGCCTTTTTATGCACATCTGTGCCTTTTCATGCCTCTGAGCTCTTCATTAACATCACAGCAGTTAATACCTTTGATCTGAACCTTTCTCAGAGTATAAACGAGTGTTAATCCATGATAAAACATAGTTTAAGTCTGGATTATTTGAAACATCTGCTAAAACATCATTTAGTATAAGATAATAAATAATCACTGACCATTTATTACAACATTAAAAACATCACAGGCAGAATATAAAGGATTTTGAACATGACATTTTAATATGGAGTAAATGGTGAACTCGCTGATTTTATCTCCTAAGTCAAGTCATGATGGATTTACTGCATGGAAAGATCTAGAGGTAAAGTAAAAGGCAATCCTGTTTATTATGCTTTGGGATTTTTGGGGACTACAGGATCTTTTAGCTGGGGACCTTTAAAGCAAGCATTTGGAAGGCTACTGGGCTGGTCTGTTGGATCCATTTTGATACTGATGAAGTGATCTTATTTAAGAGACTGAACCTATTCAGCTTAAGGCTGGACGATATATAGAAAAAAAAAGCATTTCGATAAAATAAAACATATATGTTAAGTGCCACCCTGCACATTTTATGCTATTGCTTAGTGACCTATTTTTAAATACAGAACACACAAACACTGAATTCACACATAACTCTTTATTCAACAAGCTTTTTTTTTTACCAAAATTGCCAGTTTTTTGAAAAGAAAAAAGAACATGCGCTCTCTAAACTCTTTGAAGGGAGCGGGAATTAGTGACAGAGTGTTCCTGGGTCTGCGTTTGTGATTGGTTGAGAGGATGTAATGACTGTAATATTAACAAACATGACTAACATGCACTAGGTAGGAAAACAGGTATTCTATTGAACTTTTTATTTACCTTTTTTTCTATTATAGATATATGTCTATTGATCGATACATACTGTCATTGAATTATTGTCCAGTCCTAATTCAGTATTTTAAAAATCCAATATATAGCAAGTATGCAATTAAATTAAGATAGTAAACAATATCTGCAGACACTATGGGCAACTGGGTGTCAATGATCCACCGTTGTGAAGCCATCTTAAGAAAACCTCAGTTTCTTTCATTCATCCTGGTAGCAAACTCGTTGCCTAAGGTTAAAACATCTAATATTAAATAGGACTGATGTCTAAGAATGATTGCTTTCAGTCACCAGATTTCTTATGTAGTCAGGTATAAACCAGTATAAAAATAGTTGAAGAATTTATGCTTAGAATTTGTCCAACAATCACATCAACTCTAGAACTAGCAGCTTGCCAATGGTTTAAACCTCATGAGTAATTCCAGCATTTTTCTAATATAAATCACTCACATGTTTTCCAAAATTATGCATATTTGAACAAGCCAGCAAATATACTTGGAATTTGAGCAAATGAACATATTCATAGGTATCATAAGGACATTCTGAAAAAAAAAAACATTTAGAGATAAAAAAAAAAAAAAAAAGTGTTCTGGGGCATATTTTAGATTCTATGTTTCCATCTTAATTGTTGTTTCTTTGCTTACTTTCCTGGTTATAAAAGCTGATATTAAAACTAGTTGAAGAAGGGGGATGGGTGCAATTCGATCAATAATTAGTTTTACACCTCCACCCTCACAAATCATATTTTAAAATTGAGCTTGAAGTGTTGGGAGAAAAAAAGCGTGATTTGAAATGGAAAATGAAATCTTAATCAAAATCTTTTAACCCTGTGTGACCTCTTTGGCTTATGAACTCACACATGCTTGCATGATGGGGTTAAAGGACGGTTGGGGAAGGAAGCAGGGCTGCTCCTTCTGGCAATAAGCCCTGCCCCAGAACGACAGTTCTTATCTACTATTGCACACACAACTACACTTATGTTACTTTGGATTACACAGGTTCCTTTACTTAAAATAGTGCAAAACATAAATTGTTCAATGCTAATGAAATTAATGCAAACAGGCTTTTCTAACCAAATGGGGGGATTGGTATTTATTTTAATTTTTTGCAGAAAAGATAAGTTATTAGAGTGTGTCCCCCCCTCCCCAGTGTGTGAGGTTCGTTAAACCACAAACTGAAAGACCTACACCAAGACCAGAATCTTGAATTGCATGCTTCAACCACAGCAGGCAGGCTGTCTTACTGTAATGGTTTGATAAGCCAACTGAAATGTGATTGCCTATTGCTCAAAAACATCTGTCGGGTGTCATTTGAGGTGATGATGAGTGGTTTCACAAATTCCCAAATGACTCAATAACTCAAATCGTGTGAAAACTTTCTTTGGACCATATAAAAGTCGGTTCTAAAAAGACAAAGAGTGCAGAGATTTTAAAACAGGCCTCTGTTTTTTATTCTTCGTTTGACCGTATAGTCTATATGAATCTATAAATTGATTAAATGGCTTGGGATCTTCACCAAACACATTCAAATGGTTTTAAAACTTATATGAAAGAAAGAGGTGTTGATTATCAGTAAAGCTGGAAGTTGACACATATTTAACAACCCTGTAATTGACGAGCTATCGAGCAAATTCCCAAACTTCCCAGTTTTTAATAGTAATTCTCAATGGCTGTTTCTGAATGTTTACCCTAATCACTATATAGGGTGCTATATAGTGATTACATCATTTTAAATGAGTGCCCGGTTACGTCTATTGGATGAAAAAGAAGTGGACTTGAAATTTGCAACAATGCACCTTTAAGTAGTGATCATCCATGGTCACTAGACGAGCAGACAAATCCGTGGAATGCTTTGGGGAGAGAGCTCTCCTCGCAAAGCACTATTGGATTTGGTGTCGGTCCCGCTGTCGTCATAAGCTGTCGTGACCTGACAGCAAAGATGGCGCAGGCACCGTGTGGGGAGGAGGAGCCACGTGACCAACCGGGAGCGAAAAGCAGTGATCATCTGTCTAAACGGCCCGTTAGCTGAGTTCACTATAAAGTCCACTATAAAGCCCCCGCTCTATGTAGTTATTGAGGGATCTAGGGGTTAGGGTGGACATTCCAACACAACCAATGTGTATCCTTTCCAGGAAGTCTTTGTTAGGAATGCTATAACTATCACTTCAATAATTGGTGTTGTAATGTAAAAAAATAAAAATCAATAATGACTATGCCAAGTAACAGTGTAGGTAAATTACCCAGGCAAATGTTTATGATGAGAAGAAAAGGGCAAAATGATTTGAAAATGAAAGGAAGCTGATAACCACCAATGTGTGAAAGGAAACATCACATGTCAGGGTTAAACTGGGTGAACTTTGGGTTCAGAAGAGGTACTTTCTAAAAGCTTCAGTGTCTACCTCTGTCTTCTCAGACTCCAGTCTATTGAAGCAAAAAGGAGCTCACACTTAGCCTGATTCCTCTGGAGCTTTCCTCCTGTAATAGTTGTCATTTCATGTAAATAGTTTCCTTTCCACTGTTACAACATGGATACTTTCTTTTAGGGATACTTTCTGTAAAGGATTGCTTCGAAGACAGCAACAGAAAGAAATGTCCACTGTGGCCCATCTGGGAAGAGGGAATTCTGCAGCCAATGGCTCTTTGCAAATTAACTGACTGTAAAATGCTTTACCACCAATATCCTGGTATTTTCCAGGCTCCATAATGTCACACAAGTTCCCAGGACTATTAAGGAAGGAACAACTTATTTCTCCTTTGTTTCATAGCAAACCTTCCTAAAGCACCGGATTCCACTTCAAGTCCTGGAAGAGTTTAGAAAACTCTACATATTTGTGATGCAGATTGCACCTAATGATTGTTATGAAGACTTAGTGACTCCAAGATGGTTCTATTTGCTGCAATTCTCTAACAGTGAGCTTTGAGGTTGTTGTTTTTTTTTATCTCATTGCAATCGTACTCTGTGTGTGGCGATAAGAGTTTTGGTCATGATTTAGTCTTCTGCCTAAAAGAAATTGGTCATATTATTATATATCTTGGAATCATTCAGGAACAATAATGTTTGGATTCATGCAGAGCAATATCTCTTGGTCAAGGATGTTAGAAACATAGGCCAATCCTAAAAAGCAGCTCTAAATACATGGCAGTTTGGTCCTGATGCTGAAATTGTTAAAGGGATAGTTCGGGATTTCTGACATGAATCTGTATGGCATCCCCATCACCAGTGTCATGCAATCACACTGACTTACCCCTGGCAGCATCCTGTGAGCAGAGTTCTCGTCCAGCTTTGGTCAAGCCGAAAGTAGTCCGGCAGGTTTGCTAGACCCAGCGAAATAAAACGTTTCTCTTCCCAAAACATTATGTGTTCAAAAGAGCGATATTTTTGCATCCCAAAAACATTGTAGTGGAAAAAGTCACACGTCGTTATCACTTGGTCCTATTTTCTCTCTGTTCGTATCAGTGCGCGCTACAACATGACCTGACAGCTAGGGCCTACTAACCTGAAAACAGCCAGATGCATGTCTCGCTCCGCCTAGCTGAGCGAGACATGCATCTGGCTGTTGTTGAGCTCGCTGTCAGAATGACGGCGCGCACTGATACGAACAGAGAGAAAATAGGACCAAGTGATAACGACGTGTGACTTTTTCCACTACAATGTTTTTGGGATGCAAAAATATCGCTCTTTTGAACACATAATGTTTTGGGAAGAGAAACGTTTTATTTCGCTGGGTCTAGCAAACCTGCCGGACTACTTTCGGCTTGACCAAAGCTGGACGAGAACTCTGCTCACAGGATGCTGCCAGGGGTAAGTCAGTGTGATTGCATGACACTGGTGATGGGGATGCCATACAGATTCATGTCAAAAATCCCGAACTATCCCTTTAAGCAAAGCAATGGCTGGTGCCTAAACTGCTAGTCTAGACCCTTTTCTTTTTGCACTTTAATTTCCATTAAGCATCTTCTAAGTGTAAAAAAAACACAAAAATGACATAAAATGGCTACATCCCCAAAACTTTTTTTTCAAATGTGGGACTTGTTGGCTGTGTTTGGTTCGGTGCAGACCTCACCTTCTCCTGAACATTTCAGCGAAGATGCAGCCAACACTCCACAGGTCCACCGGTGTGGCGTAACTGGACTGGAGCAGCACTTCAGGAGCTCTGTACCACAGCGTCACCACCTGCACCACAAGCAGCAGAAAAACTACTGAGCCTTCATTGTGAGAGCACAAAGACATGGTCGCTGATGGACTGCCAGCAGCATTAGGTAAATGTCACCGGCGATGCGGGCTCACACACATACACACAGGCAGCGCACTTAAAAGCTTCTCCGCCTCCATCTTGGCCTAACGCAAAAACATGAAATCATATCTGGCGGCACATGCCTCCAGCTCTACTTTACAGGTCTGTTTTCTCACAGTAGCCTAAAAGTTATATTGAATATTTTGCACTCCTTTACAAACAGGCAAAAATCCCATGTAGACAGTATGCATGTGGGTTTCTGCTATAATAAGCCTACCAGAAAGCATGTATGATACCTAAAAAAAAATTCTTCCGGTCTCTTACCATTTGTCCTGCCCCCCACCTGAGGTCTAACGGCAGCCATTTTGTGCCATTTCGTACTAAGCGTGGTTTCCAAATTTGTCCCTGAAACTCCTGGGACCTCTCAGAGTGATTGTGTGCAGCCTGCCTCTGTTAACAGCTACAGTAGGGAAAGCCTCCAGACAAAACTCAGTGACCCCTAGTAAGAGAGTGGACTGGTTCCAGGTGCTTTCCTAAACTCTGGAGTGTTTCTTTCCAGCAGTTTTTGGCTACAGTTTCCTTCTTCAAGCAGTGAAGAGTGCTTATCGGGATGTTAAAGTCTGAGGCAAATGCCTGTAAGCAAGAAAAACAAAGTGCTATGTCACCCGGATACTTTTAACTTGACTGGATATAGTTAGCACACACATATACATTCCTTAAATCTCAGATGGTAAAATGTTTAAAGCAATTTTAAAACACATTGCTTGCATGGTTTATGACTATTTTATTCAATTATAGATTGTCCCTACTCACTGTAGCCACCTTTTATTAAACCCTAATGTTGAGAGCCCATCTGTTTTATCTCAAAAAGGACTTCTGTAACCAGTTTAAGACGAGAAATCCAGTTAATATTTTGTGATCTCCTTTACTTCCAGGTTCTCTCTTGACATCTGGTACATGAAATACAACTGAATCATTAAGCTGAAGGGGGTATTGAAGTAAACCTATTGTTGTTTTATTGCTGGTGACAAGTTGGAACGTGTAAACCCACAGTAATGGAGCATGACTGTGGCTCACTGGGTTAAGTAGTCATCTTGCAATTTGACCCCAGCTTTACCTTGGAATCAAACTAAACATTACTAAGAAATTACAACTGATTAGTTGCACCTGTTAAAGGGGAGTTTTTTCTCACCACCATCACTGCATTCATGCTTGGTGTGAGGGATTGCTGCAGAGCCAATGACAAAATGCAAGCAAATATAATCTCCAAATGACTAGATGTAAGCAGCTGTTTTTTTCATAGATTGAAACGTTTAACTAATCTGACTGTATGATCTAATTGAATAATCTCTGTAAAGTACCTTGAGATGGCATATATTGGCAATTGTCACTATATAAATAAACTGAATTAATTAATTGAATTGATTTTTATGTGATAGAGATAAAAATTTAAAATGTTTTTCTGTGTTGTGTCACAATTCTGCGTGTACATATCTAAGTGTATAAACCCAAAATTTGAATTTTTTTTTCTTTCTAAAGGTTATACTTGAAAATAAATGTAGACGGACAGATACAATTTTGGATCTGAAATCAAAGGCAGCACACCCCAAACATTTGTTATGTAAATAAAAGCTTAATTTAGTGCATATTAAACCTCACCTTAAAGGTATAGTGGAGGATGTTTTGTTTCTTTTTGGGTGGGTCATCAAAATAAGTGGTCCTCTTAATTTTCATTCATTCTGGTGATATGTTTATGCAAGGTCATCCTACGTGCTCTGCTCCATTTTCACTTACCGGTGGTGAGGCTGACATAGTGGAAAAATTGCAAATCTTCTTTTGCAAAGTAAGCTTGTATGAGCGATGCAAACAGCAACTGTTAAACAGAGCGTGTATGAGGAGAAATCTGAACTGAACGTGTTTAATAGGCGCTCCCTCTCAGGAGCGGGTACAGGGTTGTGCATGTATATTTTGGAGAGGGCGTGTTCACGAAAATCCTCCACAATACCTTTAAGCTAAAGCTAAATTCTGATTCCTTTAAAAATAAACGTAAGTTGGCTTGGTCAATGCACATTTTAAATACTTCATTGAAGTCAAAAAGACAAAACTAAACCATACTGTTTTTCATACATTATAACGACATATACAGTAATTTCGAGACATGTCTGAACAATTTTATTTCAGATCTGACCTCCTGATTCAAACTTCAGATCAAACCAGTTTTTTTCCTAAGGTCCGTGAATAATAACTTACTTTTAAAAGCTTAATTCTAAATCAACAGTAAATTGTATGTCAAATTGATCATATATATCTTTTTTATAATCAAATAGCAGATTCAGCAGATTTCCTGTTTGCATGCAGATTTGCATGCAGCTAATAATGTACACATCTTGTAACAATAGTAATGAAAAGATATCTTTCTAGGAGGACTACAGCTAGTTAAGAGTTCAGCTTCTGCCTGAGGTGGTGCCAGCCCTCAACCTCGAGTAGGTTGGACCAAGATTTACAAAAGTTTTGTTGCTTCATGGGTCATTCTTGCTTTTCGAAAATGAGGCCATTGGCAGCAAAAACAGAATGCTAAAGTTAGAAGCCTAAACTAAACATGTCCAGACTCCTGCACATGCACCATCAAAGAGTAATTTATTTTGACAAAAATGACCTCCTCTGACACACAATATACCATGTAAAATATTGTAAAAAATGATTAGAGATTAAAATAAAATAAGGTCTTTAAAATAAAGAAACTAGATTACCTCCATTGATGCATCATAGCATATATCACAAACCTTTATCTGAATGTAGTTCAAGCAAACTCTTATTTACAATCCAAAAAGTTACACTTTTTAGTTTGGGTGGCTTTATGGAAGATAAAAAGACCATATTTTTAATAATCTGACCTGCCCATCCTAATGGGAGCCTGTCAATGGAAAGCTGGCTCACTGATTAACATTTCAAGATACAAAAATATTCAAGTCTTAAGTGTCTTAGCTTGGAGCTTTAATCCAACGTTAGCCTTCTCAGTAACAGGTAACCTGTTTGTAGAACTCTGTTTCTGCTGATCTAATAAATGCTTTCCAATACTGCCTTAATACCCCTTTTTTGCATTTGTATGTCCATCCATCCATTTTTCCATCACGCTTATCCCTAAGATGGGAAACACCCTGGACAGGTCGCCAGTCTACAGCAGGGCAACACAGAGACAAACAGGACAAACAACCATTCACACACACACTTAAGGAGAACTTATAGAAACCAATTAACCAAGCAGTCATGTTTTTGGTCAGTGGAAGGAAGCCAGAGTACCCGGAGAGAACCCACACATGCTCATGGAGACCATGCAAACTCCATGCAGAAAGAACTCACAGGGGTGCAGCCCCTTTCATGTGTTTTTGCAATTTCATCAGTTGTTGTCTCATTACTTTGTTGAAAAAGCAAAGAAATAAAAACCCAGGCATATTCTTGTGTGACATTTTCATTACAGGTTAATTTCTAAATACCCATATTAATTTAAATTGTTCATATTCACTGTGTGTGATGTAGTATAACCGTATTAAAGCTCCAGGGATGTTTTCCTAATCATATTAGTTTCATTAAATTCAGGCTTATTATAAAAGATCAACATCTGATGGACTAAAAAGACCTTTGGTTAAAACGCCAATAGTCAACAGAGTCAGATAACACACACACACACACACAAAAATGAAGTCACATTTTAATTTAAACTGAATGACACTATTAATAGAGCCGGATGGTGCGTTTTGCAGATGGTGAGACTTTCATCTCTGCTTCCTGCTTCACTGGAATCGGAGCGGAAGTTGAGGCCAGTTGGCTGAGATGCAGTGCGGGATGGGGGGGTTGGGGTGTGTGTGGGGTTTGGCCATGTGACCAGAAATAAGACACAAGCTCAGAATGAAGAGACAGACACTAGGGGTGATTGACGAATCTTTGAACACTGAAACCTCAAAGAAAAGCATGAATGGAAGCCACACCACAGTTGAGGTTTTTTTCCCTTAAATTTGAATTGGTTCATTTTTGTCTATTTTTCTTACAGAATGATAGATAATGTTTGATAAAAGCAGCTTTTGTTTATAGCAAGTAACAAAATACCTCTCTGCCAAAACAATCCACAATGTCACTGCAATAACAACATCAAGTTAGTATTTTAAAAAGGAGTTTCTCCCTGCAAATTCTTGCAGCTGCAACTGAAATGCATACCACTCGAGCAAACTGCATGGATTTCACACCCAGCAGAGTCAAAAGACAGCACTGACATGAGCAGACACAAAGCCTTCTAGGAAGAACCACAGAGCTCAGAGTATATCCGCCTCACAGATATTCGAAAACGTGGCCACAATTGCAGATTAAGGTTTATACATGTATATTACACATGCACAGGAGGCTACGGAAAATAGCTGCACAGCGATTTAATCTAGCATGAAATTAAAAGTCGGTTGCTTTTTTTGAAGCAACAGTTTTTAATAGCATTGCTCCCATTTATCAATTGCAACATGGTCGAACTTCCCTAATAGGCTAAATTTGATGCTTTGTTTGGTCCAGCTACACTTAGTAAAAAAAATAAATCTATAAAAATAAAAATTACTTTAGGTGCAAGATAACCTGTTTGTAAAATGAAAAGCAACTACAAAATATTACAAAATATTATGCACATGATGTGCAACTGCTTAAAAGTTTGAATAAATGTATATATGCATGTAGGCATAGTTATATGTGCAAGAAACAAATTTAAGACAAGTTTAGACAGAAGCAAATTTACCACTATGTTGCATCACCTCTTTTAACAGCTCTCACAGGAACTGAGATGATCAGCAGCTGTGGTTTCTAAAGCATAATGTGTTCCCATTCATGCTTTTACTACTTTAGGGGCTAGTTTAGAATTTTTATTCATTGAGGGTCACTTCTTACTAGAAGACCAGTGTTCTGG